CCCCCCCCCCCCCCCCCCCCCCCCCCCCCCCCGCGCCCTGTTGTGAGACTGTCACTACTGAGGGCGCCTTGCTGGGCGCTGGGCCCCGGGCGTGACCCGACGCCCTCCTCACCCCGGGGATAAAGCAGCAGGCTCCCGTCTTCCAGCTGCAGACACCCAAGTGCACAGAAACCGGCCCAAGTTCTCAAAATCAGAGGCAGGAGCCAGCGCGGGGGTTCGAACTCGGGACTTTTGGCCCCGGAACCCCCCACCCAGGGCGCACCAAGCTGGGCTCCCTCTGCACAGGGCGCAGAAACCCGAGGGGGCCCAGGCCCTCCCCACAGAGCCCGCAGACACGTCCCCTCGGAGCCGGCGACCACCTCGGTTCCCAGACAGCAGCCCGCGCTCCCCCGACAGCCCGAGCCTCGGGGGCAGGTTCCCGGGGAGCCTGGCTCCTCTCCAGCCATGCCGCGGTCACTCACCACCAAAGGCCCATTCCTCTTGTCCTTGCAAAAGCTGTGACTTCTCTGAGGTCCCGAGGCCACAGGGGATCCCTGTCGATGTGGCTGTTCATTATCCTGAAGGGCATCCCCCGGCTCCAGGCCCCGCAATGGCACCTGAGACAAAGAATGCAAGGGAAGGACGTTACAGGGGGGCTGTGCCATTTACAGGGAAACTGTCATGCCAGGGGGGTCCATTGGGGCAAGGAAGAGTGTTGAACACCAGAGATCCCCCAACCCTAATGGTTGGAGGTAAGTTGTGGCAGCAGCCAGCCTAAGTCCAACTGGTCCCGCCTTAGCCCCCTGTGTGACCTTGGGTGAGTGCCTTACCCTCTCTGAGCCTCAACTGTCCAGGAAGCAGATAATAATAGTAGCCAGCTTCTAGGGTAGATGAGAAAAACAAGAAGCCGCGTGCAGGACGCAGTACAGCCGCCAGGTGGCAGGCGTGCACGAGGCCTGGGACCAGCCATCGGGCCTGTAGGAGGCCCCGAATGTCAGCCAGCCTCATACCGCCTGCGGGGATGCTTGGTGCGTCCACACTCACGCCCAGATACAGAGGCCATGCCAGAGTGGACGGCGCCCTGGCTCCTCTCCTCTGCACTGGGCCGCGTTTTCCACTTGGTTACACAGAGGGACGCAGTCCGGCTCCTAAACACAGGACTCCACAATCTGTATTTTACAAGCCTCACCCCTGTGTACACAAGGAAAGGAGGCCCAGAGAGGGGAGGGGCCTGCTTAAGAACACACAGCGGCAGGAAGAGAGGCAGGATGCCCCGGCCCTTCCTCACAGCCTATGGGACACCCCCTCTCCCCCCTGCTCCCTCTCCACCTCCCTGCCTACCCCGAGCCAGCCACACAGCCTCCTAAGCCACCCTCTCTGCCATCTCCCTTCATGCCCCTGAGGCCTTAATAAACCCCATCTACACCTGGCCACCCCCAGAGCTCTCAGGCTGGGCTCCAGGCAGACAGACCCGACTGCTGCCTCTGACCTGCACCATGAGCCCAGGACAGGCCTCTCCCTTCCCCCTCTCAAAACTCAGTCCTCATCCCAGCCAGGCAGGCCCAGACCCTTGGGCTGCCTCCGCATCACACCCCTGCACCCCCAACGAAGCAGAGGCCCTCCTGCAGGACACCTGCAAGCCTCACATCCTGTACCAGAGTCAACTCAGCTAAAGACCTAAATGTAGGGGCAAAAACTAGCAAACCCTTCGAAGAAAACCCTTAGGAGAGCTCGTCATGACCTTGGACTTGGCAATGGCTTCTTAGGTATGTCACTGAAAGCACAAGCAACAAAAGACAGATAAAGTGGACTCCATCCAAATGAAAAATGTTTGTGCCTCCAAGGACACCATTAAGAGTGGAGAAGCAACCCACAAGATGGGAGGAAATTTCCACACATACTGACTTGTATCCAGAATATATAAAGAGCAATGGCAATTCAATAATAAACAAACAACCCAATTTTAAAATAAGGAAAGCATCTGAATAGGCAGAGGCATACATATGGCCAAGGGGCACATACAATGCATACATACAATGCATACAAATGGCCAAGGGGCACATGAAAGGATGCCCAATTCCATGAATCCTGAGGGAAATCCTAGTTGAAACTCCAATGAAATCCCACTTTACACCCCACCCACTAAGATAGGTCACCAAAAACAGGTGGAGAGGACATGAAGACTCTGCTACAGGGAACACAAAATGGCCCGGCTGCTTTGGGAGACAGGGTGGCGAGTTCTCAAAAGTGAAGCCCGGAGTGGCCGTCTGGCCCACTCCTAGGTACACACCCAAATAAACACACATATCCACTCAAAGATGCACACGCAGATGTCACAGCAGCATCATTCTTAACAGCCCAAAGTGCACACAACCCGAAAGGCTGTCGGCCCAGGAACAGATATGGAAAATGTGGGCTAGCCACACAGGGAGTACTATGCACTCAGGAAAGAGGCGAGGCTCGATGCACACGGCCACGCAGATGAACCCGCAAAACCTGCAAGAGGAAGCAGAGTGGGGGCCGCGTGCATTCAGTCAGGGGACACGTGTAGAACGGGCTCTCCAGACGCAGTGGCCCAGGACTGGGGGTGAGGAAGAATCGAGCCACAGCCTGGTGGGTTCTGGACCTTCTGGGGGTGACGAAGCTGCTCTGGAGCAACAGAAGGGAGGCAAACCCCTCCTCGAGGACCATGCCGGCCTCCGGGCCTCCACCTCGGCCCTCAGTCCACACTCACAGAGAGCCAATGGGGAGGCGTGTCTCTAAGACATGAGGGTGACAGTCCTTCAGTGACCTCAGCCAGGTCTCCTGCTCAGGCCTTGTCCACCTCTCCATCTCAGCTGGGCCCCCAACCCCTGCCCGCTGAGGTCCCTCAAGTGTCCACGGGACAAGCTCCTCCCCCGGCTGGGCACCTTCACTCCAGCTCCGGCCGACCCCAATCCTGGCCTGGAGGGAGCCCTCTGTCAGCCCAGGGCTCCTCTCAGGTCCTCCTGCCTCTGTCCCTATCTGCCCAGCTTTCTGCTCCCCAGATGACCAGATGCCTGCCCTTTCCAGACCCCGCTGTCCACCCGAGTGATCCACAGGGAGGGAGACGTCTGTGTCTGTGGGTCCCACCTGGTTGACGTGAGCCACATGTGACTTCTAAGTGCTTGGATGTGGCCAGGGGGGTGCAAGAGCTGAATGAATCCTTGTATTTCATCTTAAATAACTTAAATAACCTGGGGGGGTAGGCAGGTCCACATCCAGTGGCTTCCGGCAAGACCAGAGCCAGGGCACCTAGGACACAGCCTAGTACATTTATTACACATATTAAATGAGGTCGGGGGTGACCCCAGGTAGCTTCCCCCTGACTTCCTCCTGCTTCTTCCATACTAGGACAGAACGGTCAGAGGCTTGGCCCTGCATTATACCATAATAAATCTCCAGGGAGCTCGTGAGGTAGGCAGCCGCTCCACCCAGAGATGAGGAAATGGAGGCTCAGAGAACTCCAGGGAGGGGCCCAGAGCCACCCAGGCTAGAGTTTATCCCAGATCTGCCCAGTATGCAGTCCAGGGCTGCTTCCAGGGAGAAATCAAAACCCACAAGGGCAAAGGGTTCATTCCTTAATAAAGAGCTCTCAGAAATCAATAAAAGGGCCACAGCCCTGAAGAAAAGCAGGTGGAATATAAACAGACAGGCTACAGAAGGAAGTGCAGGTGACCTCCCCCACTGGACAAACGCCTCCTCACTCAGGAGGAAGCTCACCAAGCCACACTGAGAGGTGAGGGCACTGGTGGGGAGTGAAACTCAGAAGGCTGACACGCTGGGTCAAGATGAGGGGAGCAGGCCCTGGAGCAGGCGCTGCTGAACGTGCAGACAGGTGCAGCCGTGCTGTGGCGCGGCCAGCAGGGTCCTGCAGAGACCACCAGCTCCACACTTCAACAGGTGATGGGCATTCTGCAGCCACAGAGACCCGCAGGTGTGCAGAAGTCTGCACGTACCGATGGGCCTGGCTCGTGACAGGGTTTCGTCCTGACCAACCCACGCTGAGCTGCAAATGCGCATCGAAATGCCTGCCCTGTTGCTGCCGGCACCACGAGGAGGCCAGGGCTCCCACCCTTCCCACCACAATGAAGCTGAAAATCATTAAGTTGAGCCATCGTAAGTGGGGGCCACATCTGTTTGCAACATCAAATTGTCAGAAATATCGTCCACCTGGGAAGGTCACATAAACTGTGCTACATCCACAGGCCATCGGAAAGAACAAGGATGGCCAGGCGTGGTGACCTGTCATCCCCGCAGCTCAGAAGGCTGAGGCAGGAGGATCCCGAGTTCAAAGCCAGCCTCAGCTAAAGGAAGGTCCTAAGTAACTCAGGGAGACCCTGTCTCTAAATAAAATGCAAAACAGGGCTGGGGTGGGGCTCAGCGGTCAAGTGTCCCTGAGTTCAGTCCCCAGTACCTGCTGCCCCCCCTTAAAAATAATCAAGTTGTAAGATCTTTCTGTAGGATGCTGTCATGTTCCCAGATAAACTGCTCAACCCGTGTCCCACCCATGGCCCTACTCGAGTCTACACCAGGCCCCTGCCTCTGGCCCGGGTCTCGGGGACTGGCACTTTCTTTACGGGCTGCAGAGCAGCATCCTTGGCTCCTACCCGCTCTTCCCCAGCTGGGCGAGCAGAAGAGCGCCCGGCCATGAGCAAAGCTGTCCTAGGGACACATCGTCGGCGGCGAGCACCACTGACATGTCTGGAAGGGCCCCGGTTTCTTTCTCTGGGGGCAGATTCCTTTCTAACGCGTATGTTCTATAATATTCTAAATTTTAAACGTTGCCCAAGCAGGCCCTACCTCTGCAATAAGAGAAATAATGCCAGATATGTGTGATCGATAAACGACTATGGAACATAAGACTGTCCCAAAGGACATAAAAACCTGGGGAAGCTCCACGTCTGTCTGTCTGTCTGCTGTGGTGCTGGGGTGGAGCCCAGGGCCTCGGCAGGCCAGCCACGCACCCTGCCACAGAGCCCCAGCTCCAGCCCAAGTTGCCGAGGCCGGCCTTGAATTGGTGATCCTCCTGCCTCCCTGCGTAGCGGGGGGGGGGCTCCAGGCATGCACCTCCCCAACTGGCGCTCACCTTTTATTTTTTATACACCTGCAAGGGCTGAATCTGTAACAGTCAACATTTTGTACTTTTGAATTGGCTTTTGGTTTTTGTTTGGGTTTGGGTTTTTCTGTTTGTTTGTTTGTTTGTTTTTTAGATAAAAAACAGAGATCTTTGGGTGGGAGAGAAGAGAGCGCCAGGGAGCAGGTCCCCGGCTTCCAGGGCCCGTGGTGAGAAAGCGCATCCCCTACAGCAGCCCAGGCCGTGGGCTCCGCAGACCCTCCACAGCCTCCCTCACCAGGCCATTTCCAGAGGCCACCCTCACCAGGTCCCGTGCTCAGGCTGCTGTGGAGGCTCAAGTGCCCCCTTCACACGGCTTCCCGCAGTCACAGCCCCAGGCGGGGGACAGGTGGCATCCCTGCTCACCTTGATCCCAGCTCCTCCTCCCCAGAGTCCCTGCCGGGCGGACCCCACCATCTTCCCAGAGGAGGGAGCAAGCTCGAGTACGGTTCGCGCCAAGATCAGGTGCCCCCAGAGCCGGTGCCGGGAGCTGGGCCTGGCAGGTGGCCGAGCCTGCTCTGGTCTTGTGGGGGCACCCAGGCATGGTGGCCTCAGCATGCAAAATAGCCCAGGACCATCTGCCAGCGGCAGGGATGGGATCTGGAGCTGGATGGCCAGAGCCTGGTCCCCCAGGAGGGTGCCATCGCCAGAACACCCCCCGGTTTTCCCCACCTCCAGACCCCTGCCGAGAGCCCCACGACCCCCCTCTGGCCACCCAAGTCCCTTGCCCCTGAAGGTCAGGCCAAGCCAGGCCCCCCTCCACAGGCTCTCCTGGCTCTTTCCTAGAGCCTGCTTCTGTACCGTGTCACTCCCTGGACTTGGGTCGCGTGTCCATCTCCCACAGAGCTCAGAAGCTCCCAGACAGCTCTGTGGCTCACTGGACCCCGACATGGCCAGTTAGAAAGTGGCCCGTGAGCATTAGGTAAAAACCAGGCCAGACCTGGGCTCAGACACCAGCCTTGTCACTTACTGCTGTGTGACCTGGGACAAGTTACTGAACCTCTCAGAGCCTCAACGTCTTCCATCTGTTCGGGAAGACCACCACACCCTATGGACACTGTCAGAGCCCTGCCTGACACTCAAGTATGTGCTGGTGGCAGGTGGCCCCTCCAGCACTGAGCACAGTGCTGCAGGACAGGGGGCTGGTACATGCTAAGAGCCACAGCCAAGTAATATAATGCAGGGCATTTTTGGTTGAAAGGTGACTCCAGCAAGCCATTGAGATGATATGATTATGTTAAGATCTGCATTCATATGGATATTGGACTCCTGCTGTTCACCTCGGCCTGCTAAGGGACTCCTGGAGAGTTCCCATTGGTTGGGGAAGTGCGGTAGGAGGGAATTCCGGAGGAGGAACTTCCTCTTGGGATCCGGGAGGAGCCGCGTGCATTGGTCGGCGATCTTCCCGGGAGCCTACGGGGCATTGGCGGCAGTTTCAAAAATAAAGTTTGTTCCTGCTTAAGTGGCTCGTGATTTTGTGCCCAGCCAGACTGCGGCAGGTACACGTATTCCACGGCATTGCTTCAATGTTCACAAGGTGTGAGCATGAGGCTGTGTACTGCCGATATGACAAAGAGCACAGCACACCATATACAGCAGGTGCTCCGTTAAGGCTTGCACCGATGCTTCATTACCATCCTTCTAGCCAGCGGCCTGAAGGGGCTGAGGGAAGCAGCAGATAACAGAGTTTTAACATAAATCGCCCTCCCTTCCTAACGGGGGGGATTAGACACACGTTTGGATTTTCACATTCTCTTAAAAGATGAGGCCTGTCCTCTTAGGCCTGCCATTCCCATGAGTCAAGAACCAGCCAGAACCAAACAGCGGTGGCCCCTCCTGAGCAGGGATGAGACTCTGTTTGCCACCTCCCCGCTGCTCCCTGGAGCTCACACTCACCTGACTCCACTCCTTAATGCACTTGTGTGACTCACATAAGACCTGAGTTTGATGCCCGAGACCTGGAGGCTTAATCATGGTTTGAAAAAAAAAAAAACCAAGAGAGCCTTTGACTCACCTGGTGGCTGTCCTGAGTCCTCGGCTCCCACCTCCGCGGTCCTGCTTTGGCTTCTGAACTCTCCACGGGGAGGCTGAGCCTCCCTCTGGGTAGCTCTGGCCTCCTCTCTCTGGCTTCCTGCATGATGGACAGACCCTCCTGGGTCCTGGCACGGGGGCCCTTCTCGGAGCAGGACCTCTTGATGTCCGGCACCAACCTTCCACAGGGGTGTGGGGAGCCACCCCCCGGGGCCTCCTCGCCCTCCCCAGTGGATTTCCTTGGAGTCCTTTTCTTGTGGTCATCGGCGGGTGATCTAGGTGATACCCTCACCCCACTGGCCGGATCCTCGGGGGCAGGGGGCCTGCGCTCGGCAGGGTACTGCTGACCCTTGGCCCTGAGCTGGCTGACGGAGGCTCTGCTTTCATTCTCGGTGACCCCCAAGACTCTGTGCCTGGGACCATCAGGGACAGGAGAGGCCACAGGACATTGCTCGGTGGGAGTGGAGAGTGGCCGAGCCCACAGAGGGGAGCTAGGCTTGGTGGCCGGGGCTGGCCCTGGGGTCTCTGCTGGCGGCCAGCGGGAGCTGGGGCTGGACGTGCGAAGGGGTTCGGCCAGGCTGGCTCGCTTCCAGACACTCGCAGCCTCCTGGGGACTCCCGCTGCCCAGCTCCTGCCTCCCCAGCCGGCCGGGCCTCTCGAGGGGCGAGCTGGTGGGCTCCGCGGTGGGGCTGCCCCTGCGCTCCTGGGCCTCGCCCGGGCCTTGGGAGCAGTGCTCCTGGTACTGGGCCATCAGGGCGTCGATGTCGAGGACTCCAGGTCTGTAGCCGTCCCTCATTTTCCCTGGGTACGTCTCGCTGACCACCTCGGTCTTCCTTCTGACCAGCAGGCTGCTGGCTTTTGGCCGACTCTGCAGGGCCGGGGTAGTTTGGGACACCTTATTTCCACAGTCCTTCCAGCTGCTCTGAAGACCCCCGCCATCTTCTGACCCCCGAGGAGTCGATAAAGCGTCCACGTCAATGATCCTCTCGCGGGAAGGGTCCAGAATCCCGTCCCCGGGGGGCGAAGGGCGGTCTGTGGGCTTTGGGGCTCTGGAGACGTCGGTTCCCTTGACACACTCTGGTCCCTGAGCCCAGCTTCTCCTGCCCGCAGTCGCCTGTGGCTCCCCGTGGTTGGGAGAAACCAAAGCAGATGTGAGAGAGTGGGATGAGGGAGGTGGGGCCGTTTTTCTAGAATGTTCCTGTGAGTTCTCAGGCCCGAGCTTAACGACACTTTTTGTCTTTTGAATATCAGGAATCTGATATGTTACTGCAAAAAACGTCACCCTGGGCTCCACAGATGACGCTGGCTTCACTGCTGGGGAGGTCCTTGAGGGCCCTGGGGCCTCCTCCTGGGTCTCCCGGGCGGGTGGGGTGGGGGGGTTCTGGAAGGCACCGGCCGTGGGGCCCAGGGAATCGGCTCGCCTCTGCTCGGCTCTCGCAGTGGTCTCTGGGCCCAGGAAGCTGAAGTCATCAAATTTCACATAGTGGGGTAAAGTCCGCCGCCTCCACCGGTCCACCCTCCGGGTAGTGGGACTGGTTTTCCACACCTTGGCTTCGGGGACCTGGGCCAGCCCTGGGTCACCAGCGCTGGCAGCCACATGAGGCCCCTTCTGCACAGGCTGCATCTCTGGGCATGCCTGTGCCGGGGAGCTCAAGGGCTTGTCCTTGGTCCTGGCCGGAGGACCCTGGAGGTCCCCCTGGGAGGGACCCTCTCCTGCCACCGACACACTGACCCCCCCAGGGTCCCGGGGTTGGGCCTCCTGGACCGAAGCCTGGACAGTTCTGGAAGAAGTGGCCTCAGGAGCACAGGGCACTTGGCTGACCCCCACGGTGGCTCTATGCAGATTTACCACCGTCCCACCTGTCCATCTGGGTGACGGGCAGCTGCCTCCGGGCATGTCCTTTGGCTCCCGACAGACAGGCCTCCCGCTGGCCTCCTGCCCCTGAGCTTCCCACATCAGACTGGCCCTCTGGACACACCCCTGGGGACCATGTGGGCTGCGCTCCGAGTCAGCGGAGGTGGCCTCCTGGGACAGCTGCCGGTCCTTGAGCAAGGGCCGGGTCCGGCTGCTTCGCAACGTGACAGCCTTGGCCTCAGGCACGAGGGGGACAGCCTCGCTGTGGGCGCGTTCCCCGACGGCGAGCATCACGTCGTACCTGGGCTCCACCATCGGCCACGCCGGGGGGTTTTCCAAGGGCCTTGGGACAGGGCTGTTAGTGCGTTTGTCACCAAAAGGGTATTTTTCCAGGACGGGCGTGTGGCCCGGTCTTGGCTCCCCATCGGCCAGGGAGCCTCGTCCCAGCCTCCGTGGCTCAGCGCTCTCGGGGTTCCTGGGGTTCTCCTTCCTGGGGACCGTCACTGCCGACCAAGGGCCCTTCTCGGGCCTGGGTCTGGGCTCTGGGACAGGGGGCTCTGCCCCATTATGAGGGATTGTGGCCGAGAGGCGGTGTCCCGACAGGTCAGCCACCAAGTGTCGCTCCACGTGGTGCTCGAACACAGTGGCCCACACCTTCTGGAAGCTGCCCTCGTCCTCCAGGGTGGCCTCAGGGGAGCCTGGAGCCCCGGGGGAGCCGCCACCCCGACAGCGGCTGGCGACCTGGTCAGCGCTGTCCTGGCCTGCCGGCTGCCTGCACTTCTTCTGGGGGACCTCAGGCTTCCAGAGGGTCCTTGGGGAAGTCCGTCCATTCAGACTCTGTCCTTCCTTCTGCTGGAGACACAAGCAAACAGGCGGTGTTAACGCACTCAGGGGGACAGGAAGGCGTGTGGCGACCCTGCGGCCACTTCACCATTAAACCAGGGACTGCGAGATCTTAACCCCACACACACCCGTGGCGGGCAGGCGAGGGACACGGACACCGATGGCAGCTGCTGCAGAGGACACAATGGGAGGACGTGGAGAAAGGGGCTCAGCTACGGGGGTCTTAAGACCTTCCCTTTCCTGGATGACCAGGTTCTTCCCAGGGTTTCTCTGCCCACGTGCACAAGTGAGCAGGAAAGTTCTGGAAGCCCAGCTTGTGAAAGCAGAAGAGCACACAAACAGCCCGGGCCCAACAGAAGACACTGGCTACTTCTCCAACACATGGTGCTGGGAGAACTGGACATCTCATGTGCAACAAAATGAAATTAAACCCCTGTCTCCCACCATGCACAGAACTCAAAGTGGATCAAGGACCTAGGAATAAAACCAGAGACCCTGTGTCTAATAGAAGAAAAAGTAGGCCCTAATCGCCATCATGTGGGATTAGGCCCCAACTTCCTGAATAAGACTCCTAAAGCACAATGATTAAAATCAAGAATCAATAAATGGGATGGACTCAAACTAAAAAGTTTCTTCTCAGCAAAAGAAACAATCTGTGAGGTGAATAGAGAGCCTACATCCTGGGAGCAAATCTTTACCCCTCACACATCAGACAGAGCACTAATCTCTAGGGTCTATACAGAACTCAACAACCTAAGCACCAAAAAACCCAAATAATCCACTCAATAAATAGCCAAGGACCTGAACAGACACTTCTCAGAAGAGGATATACAATCAATCAACAAATACATGAAAAAATGCTCAACATCTCTAGCAATAAGAGAAATAAAAATCAAAACTACTCTAAGATTTCATCTCACTCCAGTCAGAATGGCAGCTATTATGAAGTCAAACAACAGTAAGTGTTGGCGAGGATGTGGGGAAAAAGGCACACTCATACACTGCTGGGGAGACTGCAAATTGGTGCAGCCAATATGGAAAGCAGTATGGAGATTCCTTGGAAAGCTGGGAATGGAACCACCATTTGACCTAGCTATCCCTCTCCTTGGTCTCTACCCAAAGGACTTAGAAGCATCATACTACAGAGACACAGCCACATCAATGTTTATAGCAGCACAATTCACAATAGCTAAACTGTGGAACCAACCTAGATGTCCTTTAACAGATGAATGGATACAAAAAATATAGGGCATATATACACAATGGAATATTACTCAGCAATCAAAGAGAATAAAATCATGGCATTTGCAGGTAAATGGATGGAGTTGGAGAAGATGATGCTAAGTGAAGTTAGCCAATCCCAAAAAACAAATGCTAAATGTCTTCTCTGATATTAGGAGGCTGACTCATAGTGGGGTAGGGAGGAATAGATGAACTCTAGATAGTGCAGAGGGGTGGGAGGGGAAGGGAGGGAGCATGGGGCTAGAAATGATGTTGGAATGTGATGGACATCATTATCCAAAGTACATGTGTGAAGACACGAATTGGTGTGAATATATTATGTGTACAACCAGAGATATGAAAAATTGTGCTCTATATGTGTAATAAGGATTGTCATGCATTCTGCTGTCATATATAAATATAAAAATTAAATTTAAAAAAGGATAAAGAAAAAAAGAAGAAGGCACCAGCTAGGGGTATCTTGCTCCAGCCGGAGGACAGCAGGCACAGACATTCCTGTCTGCAGAAGGAGGTGGATCTCATGTCCACCATGTCTATGGGCATGCCCAGAACCATTGTCTGGGGTACGGTTGGGGGCAGACTGCAGAATGGTATGTGTATGATCTAACACCGTGTGTGTGTGTGTGTGTGTGTGTGTGTGAGAGAGAGAGAGAGAGAGAGAGAGAGAGAGAGAACCTAGGGGTGCACTACCACTGAGCCACACCCTCACTCTTTTTATTTTTTGAGACAGGGTCTCGCTAAGTTGCTGAGGTTGGCCTCCAACTTGCCATCCTCCTGCCTCAGCCTCCTGAGCTGTTAGGATGACAGGCATACATCATGCTTATCTTTTAAAACTGTACATTTATGTGCATGTGTATGAAGAAAAGACAAATTGCCGGAGGTGGTAGCAGCTCGAGAGTCGAAGGCAGGAGGATCGTGAGTTCAAAGCCAGCCTCAGGAACTTAGTGAGGCTCTAAGCAACTCAGTGAGGCCCTGTCTCTAAATAAAATACAAAAATAGGGCTGGGAACATGGCTCAGTGGTTGAGTGCCCCTGAGTTCAAGCCCCAGTACCAAAAAAAAAGAAGAAGAAGGAGAAAACATAAATCCACCTGACCCCGAGAAGCAGGTGTGTGTGGAGGAGGGCTGAGTGAGGGAGCGCCTTCAATCTTACGCATTTGGGTCCTGTTTGATTTTTAGGATATGCATGTGTCAGTCATTTTCTGATTTTTTTTTTCCTGCTAGGAATGAATCTATTTCAACATGTTAACCGTGTTTGTGTGACTGGGACCCTCTTTCAACCATCCTTAAAAGAGGTGGTTCAGATCCAGGGATGAGGCCCAGGGCCCCTGACGGACCCCAACAGTGGTGGCCACCGTCTGCCCAAATGAGAGGGATACAAAGGGCCCTGAAGGAAGCACTGGTGTATTTTTAAAACAGAAATTTCTCAAAAACAGGAAGCATGCGCATGCCTGTGATGGACGCACCCACTCCTAGGTATTCACCCAAGGGGAAACCACCAGGCCCGGCACAGCCTTGGCCCCAAAGGTTGCCACAGCTTCGCCCCAAGGGCCCCGACTGGAAGCAATCGGAGGACACTCACGGCAGCTGCCCGGACCACGGAGTGGAACCCAGCGGTCACAAGGGAGGAGGACAGCAGGTGACACCACAGTCTGGAAGTAATGACTCCATCTCAGAGTCTAGACAAGGCGAGGGCCCGGGGTGGGGGCAGAGGGCGGCTCGGGGCTGCGGGGCCAGGGCAGTGGGGCAGCCCGGGGGCTCGGGTGTCGGTCATCCGCCCTGTGGGCCGCCCCAGTGTGCAGAGCTGTGGACTCCCCTGTCCGTCACGTGTCCCTCAACAGAGCAGCTCTAAGCATCAGGACCTCACAGAGCACGGGGCGCACGCAGTCATGCCGAGGGCTGACCTAGGAGCCTGTTCTCACTGAAGGATGACACAGAGACACCGGAGGGAGAGTCGTGACTGGGTAACCTGAGGGACTTTTTTTTTTCTTGGTACCAGGGACTGATCCCAGGGGCACTTGACCGCTGAGCCCCGCCCTAGCCCTTCTCCTGTTTTATTTGGAGACAGGGTCTGAGGTGCTTATGGCTGAGGCTGCTTTGAACTCGCGATCCTCCTGCCTCAGCCTCCCTAGCCACTGGGATGACAGGTGCGTGATACACGCCCAGCTTCAGGGACTTTTAATGACATTTAAACCTAAGTTTGGGGTTTCCCTAAGGCAGGATTCATACAGGAAACGCAGGCCCCTCTTCTTCCTAGCACAGGGGGAGAAAAATAAACACCACCTGCCGGTCACTCTCAGAGCCCCGCCTGACACCTGGGGATGGAGACCCACCAGCGTCGTGCCCAAAGCCCAGCCACCCACCACTCACCGCGGCCGTGGGCTCCTCAGGATGCGCGGGGCTGGGCACAGCGGTCTTCTCACACCTGATGTCGCTACTGGAGGCTGAACTTGAAAACCTGGCACAGAGACCCGAGTCACTCGCATGGAGCCAGCAGCTGGGACTCCCGGGCCCCCAGTAGCCCACTCTGCTTCCAGCTCAGGAGGCGGTGAGATCACAGGCCTCCAGGGCCAAGCCACAGGACACCTCCTGAGGGTCGCCAAAGGAGTGGGCAGGGACAGGGCCTACGCAGGCAGAGCATGGGGTGGAAGGCGCCCAGGCCGGGTGCAGACACCCAGTGCTGTCCCAGCTCAGGCCTGGGACCTCACCTGAGCCTGTTTCCTGTCTATAAAGTGGGGATAATGAGCACCTCCGTCTTCTTTTATAGGGCAGATAAGAGGCCACCCATGGCCCTTATAGCTATGCGGAGGCGTCTGGGGAGAGGGGACGCCCGGGAGGGGTGGCTGATGGTCCTGCTCGGCAGCCCCGACCCGGCCCCCACCTTAACCCTGCCACGAGCCTCGGGCAGTGGCCCTCACAGACGCGTGGGGCCCTCTGGGTGGCCAGAGTCTAACCGAGGTCCCTGCGTGCCTCAGGTTTCCCCACTTAAGAAGGGAGAGAGGGAGGAGGGCGGGTCCTTCCCTCTCTGATGTGTCCTCTATGGATGCCACATGAAGATGTGGCACTTGCTCAGTTCAGGGCCGGTTGGGGGGTGCTGTGTGGAAAAGGGCGGGGAAGACCAGCCCACTTGGAACTTGACCCCAACTCAGCAGGGGAGGGGTCTGCTTCCCGGGAGGTGGGGCTGTGATGGGTCCTGCCTCAGTGTCCCCTTTGGTCAGATGACCACCCGGCCCCCTGGGGCAGTCCCGGGGCACGGCGAGCGGAAGCTGGGGAGGCCCTGGCACAGGTGCCCTCTTCTCTGTCCTCGTAACTCAGGGCCCTGAGGCCTGCCTGAGCCTGAGAACCCTGGGAAGCTTCTAAAAATGACCCAGCTGGGCACAGTCACGCCTGGCATCCCAGGGGCTCAGGAGGCTGAGGCAGGAGGATCGCGAGTTCAAAGCCAGCCTCGGCCACAGCGAGGCCCTAAGCAGCTCAGTGAGACCCTGTCTCTAAATAACATGCAAAATAGGGCTGGGGACGGGGCTCAGTGGTCGAGGCCCCCGAGTTCAATCCCAGGTACAGAAAAAAAAGAAAAAAGACCCAAACATGAGCCCCCCTTCCCAGGCCCAGTGACTAGAAGCGCTGGGGTGCAGCCCAAGCAGGGGTCACCTTCCTGGGGTGATTCTAGTGTGTGCGGGGCCAGGCTGGCGGCTTGGTTCCCAGGTGAGAGGGCAGTCCACCTGGAGGCCAGCCCTGAGGCTCCTCCCTGGGCTAAGCGTGTCAGTAGCATGGGTGACACTGACGAGCAGGGTGGCAGCTCCCTGCTGTGGCCACTCCCCAGTGAAGCAGGGTGCCTGGGCGGTGGGCAGGGCTCAGAGCCCTCACTGACCAGGGGCCTAGCCAGCAGCTGAGCCAGGACACCCGGTGGCAGGAGGCCCCGCTCTGGGCTGCACGGGGTGGGGGTGGGGGTGGGGGACAGGGGGCTCTCCCCGCGGCGAGTGTCCAGGGAAGGACAATGAGGCTCACAAGTCACCCTGGCTCCTCTGGTTTGATCTGGGGGCCCGCTCACGGAGGCTTGGGCCTAATCTCAACTGTCGTTGACCTTGGGGAGGAAGGCCTGGCGGTGACAACACTGGGCAATGCCAAATTGGGAAGCGGGGAACAATCTGTCCCACTGTGGGGGAAGCAGAGGGTCCGAGGAGGGCAGCGACTCCCACCTGCTCTCAGGGCCGCAGATAAGCTGGTCAGGAGGAGCCCAGGCCCTTGAACCCTGTCCCCCAGGGGCGTGGATGGGGGGGGGTGGCCACTTACAGTCTGGTCAGATCTGCCGACAGCGGCCGCGACGACGGGAGCGTCCTCCTCCTGAGCTCAGGCCTCCCCCTGGAGCCCTCCGCGGTCCAGCCTTTGATCCGCTCCTGGACACTCACGCCCCCCTTCTGGGGTGGTGGCACTGTGGGTGGGGACTGAGGGGTGGCCGGTGGGGACTCGCGTGCTGCTGCGGGGCCCGGGCCGCTCTCCTCCCCGAACAGGCTCAGGCGCTTCTTGACGCAGCCCCTGGAGGGCCCCGCTGTCCCCGCTGCGGCCTCCCTGTCGCCCCCTCTGCTGTTGACCTCAGCGAGCTCCGGGCCCCTCGCTGACCTGGGCAGCGGGGACGGGGGCGTCTTCTCTGGCTCCTGGCCCAGGCTGGCTTTCTCCTGCTGGGGACGCGGGTCATGTCCGGTGCCCGCCCTGGCCGGGTCCCCTGGGCTCCTGGGGCTGCCCGTCTCTTCCTGCCTGAGAAGCCTCTTCTCCTTCCGTTCACGGATCTTCTTGGCCACCTCCAGGAAGTCTGTGTCTGGGTTCCCATGGGGACCCTCGGCTCTGGCAGGCCACCCCCCGTCCACCCGGGGCTCCGGGTTGGCCCTGTCTGTCCCCTGCGGCCCCTCACGGGTCCCCTTCCTCAGCAGGGCCTCCTTGCTCTCAAACGGGGCCGTGAGGTCCATGGACATTGGCCGGGGCTTCCTCACCCAGGTCTTCTCGGGCGGGGCCGGGGCCACCTTCCCCGAAGTGGCCCCTGCGCCTGGGCCCGGCTTCGGGGGCTGACCGGGCTCCATGAACATGGCCGAGACGGGCCTTCTCTTGGGGCGAGGCCTGGATTCTGCTGGGGGGCCCGTGGGGTCCTCCTCACCGCCCTCTGGGACCGACTGGTCATGGGTGGCCTCCTCTTGGGGGACGGCTGGCCGTGTGTCCTGTGGCAGTGACGCCGGCCGGGGAAGGGCCCCTGGGGGCTTCCGGGCAGGCTTGGCGGCCACCTCAGGCCGGGAGCTGGAAGGAGACTTGGGGGTCACGGCCACAGTGCCCTCGCTGAGCCCCTTCCCCAGGGTGGGACCAGTTCTGGTGGCTTCAAAGAGAAGCGCGGTGCCAGGGCCAGGCCGTGGGCAGGCAGCCTTGCCGAGTGGGGACGGGCCTGTCCCCGAGGCCACTCCACTGTCCACCCCCTGCCCCCCCAGGCTGGGCATCCTCCTGTCCAGGTCACAAGGCCCCGCGGGACCCGGCCGGGCGGGCCCAGGCCACAGGGCCGAGCTGGGGGCCTTCACGTCGGGGGCCTGGTCCTTGGAGAAGGGCCGCGGGGCGAGTCTGGGCACGGGGAAGAGGCGGCCCGGGCTCCGCAGGGGGCTCTTGCCCTCCAAGATCAGGGCCGAGGGCGTCCCAGAGGCGTCCCCCGCGGGGCAGAAGTAAGTCCTCTTCAGGGCCTCCTCCTTGCCCATGTCCCCGAGGCCCGGCACTGCCGTTAAGGACGGTATGGAGCCAACCTCGACCCGCGTCACCATGGTTACGGCTGTGGCTCCAGGAGGATCAAGAGCATCGGAAACGGAGAAGCGACTGCTTTAAAAAAAAAATAAAAATGTCAATTTAGCAAACAGTGTCTGGGTGCCAGCAGGGGGACCCCAGACCTGAGCCCCAGACCCTGACCTCCCCAGGCAGCCTGGGGGCCCTACCTCTGAGCTCTGGGAAGGGAGTGGCCTGCACAGCCCCTCACGGGCTGGACAAGGGGCCAGCATCCTCTGGGTCTTTCCCGACTCACCAGGTCTCCAGCCAGGTCTTAGAGGCCAGGACCTCTGCCCGACAGATAAGGAAGCCAGCCCAGAGAGGCTCAGAAACAGGCCAGAGGACGCTCAGGAAGCCAGAGGTCAAGTCGGGATTTGAACCCGGGCACACGTTCCAGCCCGAGGCCCAATGGGCGTGTGGTCCCCTCCCCCCCTGCTCCTGTGGCGCTGGCTGTTTCCCATCCCAGGGTCTGTCAGGCACCCTGGAGGATCTGCATCACAGCCCTGTGCTGAGCACCAAGCACAGAGAGGGTAAGTGACTGGCCCCAGCTCACACAGCTACGTGAACCAGGGGTTCCCAGAATCACAAAGCTGGGGAGTGGCCTGGAACCCATACCATAGTCACCACCCCAACCGGGCCGCGGGAGCCTCTTGCCTTCCCCTGGGCACTAAAAATCAAAGCCACTGTTCCCACTCAGCCTGCTTTCACTCATCTGCTGTTGGGCCCTTTTTGTTGAACACCTATTTTATATCCCTTCCTCTTTTTTTTTTTTTTTCCTTTCTTTTACCCACTGAAAAATCCCAGCCTTCTTAATTTTTTTTTAATTAGAGACAGGGTCTTGCTAAGTTGCTGAGGCTGGCCTTGAACTTGGGATCCTCCTGCCTCAGCCTCCCAAGCCACTGGGATGACAGGTGTGTGCCACGTGCCCCACCCCAATCCCCTTCATATTCTTTTTTTTAATATTTATTTTTTGGTTGTAGTTGGACACAATACCTTTGTTTTATTTATTTATTTCTATGTGGTGCTGAGGATCGAACCCAGGGCTTCACATGCACAAGAAGAGTGCTCTCCTGCTGAGCCACGACCCCAGCCCCCTTCCTATTCTTAGTAAGAGTAAAACTGACCGTGACAGCCGACCATGAGTGACACAGACCGTGGAACCTAGAGCTCCATGTGTTCTGTAACTCTCACCCTCACAACCCTGTCAAGTGCGTCCACAGATCGGGTTCACCTGCAGAGGGCAAGGCCCCGGTTCACCCAGATGGAGACCACGCCTCCTCCTGCCTTAAGCTTCAAACAACTCAGAAAGGCAAGAATTGTCATTGTCTTTCTTCTGCAGATGAAAGGAAAGGGCCCAGAGAGGTCACCCAGCTTGTTTATTATCACACAGCTGTGGCTTGACCTGCGGCTGAACGGGTCACATCCAGCCCTGCCTTTAAAACAAGATTTTTCTGATTCCTTTCTGATCTTAAAATGTGGGAGCCCTCACTGTTCCCAGTCCCCACCTGCTCTGGGCCCGTGTTGTCTTTCCCTGGAAAAACTGCCCACCCGCCCCCAGCTAGATGCGCAAAACCTCGGAGGTATTTTGGTTCCTCTGCAGCCTCCCTCCCTCCCTCCCTCCTGGCTGCGCGGCTCCGGCTGACTCACTCGCAGCCTCGGGAGGGACACGGGAGGGACGCAGCCGGGTTTGGGGTTCTCTCCTCCTTACCCCTCAGGGGCCAGCAGAGCCCATCTCCCACCCAGAACATCACCCCGACGCGGTCACAGGCAGAACAGAGGGACAGACGCGCAGGATCTGAGAACCGGGCGGCCCCCTGAGAGGACCCCAGGGGGGCTCTGAGCTCCGTCCCTGCCTCTGCCCCCGCAGCCAGCCTCGGGCCGCTGGAACCCTGTGTGGGACACACGCAGCCCAGGCAGGAGACACAGGACAGCGACAGGATTCCAGGGACGGAGAGAAAGTCTCCCAGCACCGGCGTCTGCACCTCCCGGACCGCAGCCCCACGTGCGGGTGGCGCATGCACCCACTTACCCGAGCTGGTGGCCCTGGCTGGGGACACGTGAGTCCGGGGAAGCCCCGGAGTCCCTGCTCAGGGGGAACCGGGCCAGCTGTGCGCGCCCATGGCAGGAGCCCGCGGGGGACGGAGGCTGGTCCCTGCAGCTGAGTTTCAGCAGGTCTGAGGCACAGGGGACAGCCTTGGTTCCGGAGCTCTGGCAATATGTGCACAGACGGCGCAAAAGCTTTTGGGTTCCAACTGCATCCGCTGGCATCTCCTCCAGCGTCTAGAACACACTCCTTCCCGGTTTTCAGTTTGTTAGCCTTATATATCCATGTGTGCGCAGGAGACAATAAGAATCCCCCGTGTTTACTGAGCACCTACTATGTGTAAGAAGAACTACCCTGCAACCATGGAACTCACAGCCTTATGTAACACACACACACACACACACACACACACACACACACACACGCAATTGCAACACTAGGTCATAATGTCCTCCTTTATAACAGCTCATGAGGAAACAAACGAGGAAGAGAATGAGCTGCCTAGATCTGGAATGGTGGTCCCAGACAATACCCCCAACGTCAATTGGGAGCTCTTCCTTCTGTTCTGCAATTGCATGATGCACCCCTCAGAGGTCCTCACATGCTTCCTCAGGGCCTTTGCACATGCTGTGCCTGTTACCTGGGGACCCTTCTTCCCCACACATGGCTATAGGCTCCAGCCACAGCTCAGACTTCTCTGTCTACCTCCAACCTGGAGCCAGCCTGTGGTACAGGTTCAAGGTCACCACAGACCTTCAGAGGCTGAGCAGGACTCCTCTCAGCTAGGCAGGCACACTTCCTAGGGCAGGACCCGCGCTTCAGCTAAGCCCTGGGGGACGCCCTGGTCTGCAAAGGAAGCTACACGATCGAGGAACCAATGAATCAATCCGAGGAGAGCAAGACCCTAAACCACCGCAGACCACGGAATAACAGTCCGAAGTCCTGGCGACCCCCGAGACCCAGAGAGCTCAGGTTTTCCCTCAACCTGTCATAAAACGCGAGGCGCTCGTTTAAGGCTGTGTCTTCAGACCTTACTTTAAATGCATCGCATATGTTAGCCTGATTTAAAAGACGCTCGTCTCTTCCAAGACGTTCTGGAAGCCCACTCGCACCCAAGCCGGCTGCTATTTATTCCTGGGTGGCCTCGCTGGCTCCTTCCAAATGCCTTAGTGAAGCCGCAGACAAAGTCAGGTGACCAAGAGCTCCAAGGGGGAACCCGCCTGAGCCAGACCTGGTTGAGTGTGTGTGGTGTGCACACGTTACACACTGATCATGCACACTCACTGTCACAGAGGTCAGCAGGGGGCAGACAGACAGCAAGGCATCCCCCCGGGGGTCAGCAGGCTGTGGGCGACCAGGACAGAGAGGACCCCAGCCTGACCCCCGCTGTGACCACAGCAGTGGGCATTTCTCTGCTGAGGGTCCACCTGAAGAATCCTCAGGTTTGATGTCCCTGGGTTCATTTGCAAAGCTTGAGACACCCCCTTCCCGTGACAAGCTGTCTGCGGAGGGAGTCACTGAGCAACAGGTGCAGGAACCACAGGGGACCATCCCAAACCCTCATCCCTGACACTCGGGGCACAGGCTGCCTCCCGAGGCGTTGGGCTCTATGCCCCAGTGCCAGGAGCAGCCACGGGTCTCAGTCCCCTGGGGACGGGTGAGAGGGACGCTCCCATTCAGAACCAAACAGCTCTTACCCGGGATTCGGATTCGGAGGCCCTGACTCATTCCCGCGGCTGTGGACGCTTCTCCGCAGTCACACGCGCCAGCCGCTCTGGGAGCTCAGCAGCTCTCTGGCTGCGGCTGCTTCCCGGGAAGGCCACCATCTGGTGCGGGGCGTGGGCCGGTCCTGACACCTTTCAGCGTCTCCCGGAACATGACCTTGGCCCCTGAATCTGCAGACCCGTCCCGTGACGCGCACCGTGCAACAGGCCAGGAGCAGATTGGCAGAGTGCAGCTGGCGTCCTCCAGGAGGAGCTGGGCGCGGAACACCCTAGATCTGTCCACCCACGGGCCCCAGATGCACAGGGCCCAGCCGAAATGTCAGGTGTCACTGGAGCGCACGCGTCCCCTGCCCCTCTCCCCGTGGCTGCAGCCCAGCTCATCTCTCCATCCATCCATCCAACCATTCATTCATCCATTCCAATGCCCTGTTAATGAGCACCTGCTCTGTGCCAGGTGCTGGGGATGCAGCAGTGAACCCCACACGCAGAAAGCCCTGAACACAGAGACAGCAGTGAACAAAACACTTGATCACAGTGTGAAGAATGTTGGTGACTATGCGAAGGGGACGCCTCGGTGGCCGGGGAGGGCGTCACGGAGAAGGAACTTCTGGAGTCAGCCTCAGTATAGCCCTTGGTTCCCTTGGCTGGGCCTCCCCTCACATGCAAGGGTTGGGACATCACCCCCAGCTCAAAGCCCACCCGTCTCCCACTGCCCCTGGGTGGAGACCTGAGTCCTCCCCAAGGCCCCGGATCTGACCCTCTATCTCCCACCAGCCTCACCTACAATGGAGGCTGCCCCCCTCTGTCTCTCACACACACTCTCCCACTTTGAAGTGATGCCCAGGCAGGCGACAGGAAGCACCCTTTTCCTCTAGCTGCCTACTCATCTCTGTGTACCCATGATCCCCTCCTCCTCCATGCCCCCTCCAGGAAGCCTCTCCTGACCTGTCTTCCCAGTGGCTTGGGAGGCTGACGCAGGAGGATCGCGAGTTCAAAGCCAGCCTCAGCAATGGCGAGGCCCTAAGCAGCTCAGTGAGACCCTGTCTCTAAATAAATACAGAATAGAGCTGGGATGGGGCTCAGGGGTCGAGGGCCCTGGGTTCAATTCTTGGTACTAAAAAAATCCAGGTGCCATTCCCACGTGAGCACTGGCCCGGAGAGACCACCAGCCCCCATCACAGGAGTGGGGAGGCTCCCCGTGCACCTCATCCCTCCAAACCCTGTCTACTTTCAACTCTGTGACCCTGTCACTAGAAAGTCATCCTAGGAAGTCACCAGAAAGAAAAGCCACCTTACCTGCAGGGCACTGTGGTCCCCTGTCCCTCTGAGGACACCTACTGGAAGTAATTTTGACTCACAACCCTCCTGAAACGTCTCCAGGGCCGCAGGCAGACCAGACCAACCCAGCCCCAGCCAGCCTGGGCACCATCAGGGCCCCGCGAAGCCCACACCCTGCAAGTCCTTGGTTTGGGATCAGCAAAGATGGGTGAGAACCACGGGAACAGCGCCCATTCTCCAGGAGAGGCAAATGTCACAGTCACACGGGGGGGGGGGGGGCAATCAAAATGCTGAGGTGCGGCCCAGCACCATGGCCCACACCTGTGGTCCCAGCCATTCAGGAGGCTAAGGCAGGAGGATCGAAGATAGAGGATAGAGGCCAGCCCAGGCAGCACAGTGGGACGCCATCTCAAAACCCACAAACAAAACACATGAAAACAACGTGCTTAGAGTCAAAACAGCTATGATCTCGGGGCCCAGACGGTGCCAGCACTCTGCTGGGTGTCTCCCAGGAATTACTCCACCCTGGGCCTTCAACAGCCCCGGTGGCCGGTCCTGCTGTGACCCCCGTTTCACAGGTGAGGAGAAGAGACGGAGGAGGGCGTGCCTGCTTGCAGGCGGCTGGCACTCTGGTCCCCACCCTCCCTCCCGGTCAGGTTTCCAAAGTCCACTTGAGCGTCACTAGAATCACTGCTTTTTATGACATTCACAGGTAAAGGGCATGTCACACCCGTGGGGTGGCTATTGTGAAAAGAGAAAGGAGAAGAAATGCAGACTGGGATGTGGAGAAACTGGGACCTTATATATTGCTGTGGGGGTGTAAAATGGCAGAGTCGCCGTGGAAACAGTATGGGAATCCCCCCAAAACACTCATAGGATCTAGAAATGCCACCCCTAGGCACATATCCAAAAGAAGTGGACACAGGCATTTGAACAGGTGTTTGTAAACCGATGTTCAAGCATCATCACAATAGCCTGCAGGTGGACACAACCCAACTGTCCACCTCAAACAGACAGATGAGCCAAATGGGGAATACTCACACAGTGGAATATTATACAGCTCTAAAAAAGAAAGAAATTCTGACAGCTGCTCCAACATGGACAAACCACAAGGACATCATGCGAGACACATGGATCACAAAAGAACAAATACTAGCCGGGCGCAGTGGTGCACGCCTGTCTTCCCAGTGACACAGGAGGCTGAAGGAGGAGGAGAATCTGAACAGGGTGGCATTGGCCAGGGTGCCCACACACCCCTGTTCATCTGGTCCTACCCCTTCATTCTCAAGAACCTCCAGGTCTCACAATGCCGCGGTGGTCACTAAACTCACAGTGTGGATGTTCCTGGGCTTATGGTGACATGTCCCAGTGAATCCATCCTTAAGTTGAAAATACTGTTGTCCAAAATGCACTTAATACCACTAACCTACCGGACAACCTAGGGTGACCCACCTTAAACGCACTCAGGTCACTTAGGAGAGCACACAATGGGGCAAAGCCATCCAGCACAAAGATTTCTTTTTATTTGGATTTGATTGATTGATTGTACTGGGAATCGACCCCAGGGGTGCTCTATCACTGAGCTTCATCCCCAGTCTTTTTTTTTTTTTTTAATTCGGAGATAAGAGGCTTGCTAAATCGCTGAGGCTGGCCTTCAATGGGCAATCCTCCTGCCTCAGCCTCTCAAGACGCTGGGAGGAGAGGCGTGCGCCTCGGTTCTGGGCTGAATACACTGGGCACTCCGGAGTGCACGTGCTGTTCCCCCTTGTGATGCTTTGGCCCAGGAGCCACTTCGCGCTCAGGAGGAATATCACACAGCACACCTGAGGCCCAGGTGAGGAGCAAACACCCAGAATTCCGAACGCAGATTCTACCGACGCCCTGGCGCAGCTGCCGCGCCATCGCCATCGTAAAGCGGAGACATCGTTAAGTCGGAGAGCCCTGAGCACTGCCCCTCTGAGCTGCACAACTACCACGGCCCTCCAGCTTCCAATTGGGAAGGCATCTCCCACGTCAGTGGGAGGCCGAGCCCTCGCCCCCACCAGCCCTGGCAGCCACTGATCCGGCTTCTGTCGCTGCGGATGGATCCGCTCCTGAGGTCCCAGCGCCTCCCTCTTCCGAGGCCAGACCTGCAGACCCAGCGCTGGGGCCGCGCCGGGCACTTCCCTGCACGAGCAGAGCCAGCCCTGCCTCCCTCTGGGCCTCAGATATGAGAGGCTGCGCGGGCGAGAGGGGACACTGACCTGCCTGTCGCTGAGAGGAGCGTGCACTGGGACCTGGCGCCACCGAGGCTCCCGGCCGCGGGCCCCTCCCCGGGCCCCAGCACTTCCTGGATTCCGAGCCCCCGAGACTCCTGAGAAGCCGTCGCTGCTCAGCGCAGGGCTGGGGGGCTGCAGAGGACCGTCGCGCTGCTCGACAGGCGCAGTGAGCACCTCCCAGGGCGCGTCCCTGTCCTGTGACAGCCGCCTCGGCACGGCTGGGCCTTCGGGCGTCGCCTGCGCCACAGTCCAGTCCACCTGGCACCCAGCTGGAGGGCCCCTCCCAGGCCCCTGGACACTCCTGCAGCGGGAGGGGGACACACCCAAAGGGAGTTCTGCGGTCGGGACAGGGTTTGGGTTCTGCGATGGCAAGCCAGCTCTTCCAGAAACTTCTCCGAGCCTCGAAGGGGCCCATCTGCCTTTGGGAGCCTCAAAGCGGGATCCCAGCTGCCGCCCAGACCCCGCAGCCAGGGGCCACCGCTGACCTGCAGGGGAAGGTCAGGACAGCTCTCCCCTCCGCCTAACATCCGCCTTTTCAATTCTCCGGCCTGTTCCTTCCTACAATTTGTGCTATTTTGGGACAGGGGGACCACTGGCCAGAGCCATTAATCAAGCTGCTTCTTCCCCCTGTTTTTCCTCTAGATCCTTCGGGAAGCTACAGCCCCAGAAAGAACCCAACCCACCGGCTGTTTGGTCAATAAAGTTTTATTGGCAACAGCCACACCCATTGATGACTATGGTTGTGGCCCCTTCCAAGGGCCATTCAGTACGGGGCTCTGTGTTAGTGACAGGGTTAAGTTGCT